TTAATTTATTAATGGAAAATAATAAAAAGGTATACCATATACACTGTACAAAGAATAGACTTTTCTCTTAAAAGAAAGACATTTGACTAAAATATTTGATATTAAAACCTAGTGCATACATACTTTTCCATGTATTTTATGAATACCGAAAGAACATTCTATATTCATAAAATAAATTTAACCATAAAGGTATAAGATGGGTTTGTTATTTATATGAATAACAAAAAACTTAGTCTTAAAAAGTCACAAGTTCAATTAGGATCTACGATATAATATATAATAATACAATAGTAAAATGGATAAAATTTACTACTTTTTAAAACTGGTCAACCCTTCTTCACTAACAGCCCAAATAATTCAAGACCAAAAGACCATCACCTGCAGATCACTGAAAAGAATCATGACCGAGGGTCAGAAAATAGGAACTCTATACACTAACTAGCCAGGAAAATTCATTTACCTCTCTGAGCCTCCGTTTACTCATCCATGAAGTGGCAGAGTTGAGATAAATGATCTCCATGACTTTCCTAACTCTGACATTTGAAAGCCATCCATTTTGAGAGAGTAGTGGAATGGTTATGGGATTTAGGAAACAGGCCCCTTCTAATTGTAGACAGATCTTGGTATTCTTTTCTACACAAGGGCAGTTCTTTCTCGGGCAACTTCCTAAGTAACCACCTATATATTTCCTAAAATCCATAAATAAACCAGATCCTACCAGGGGTGCCCAACCCACGGCCCACAGGCGGCATGTGGTCCAGGCTGGCTATGAATGTGGCCCAACACAAAATTGTAAATTTACTTAAAAACTTTTTTTTGGCTCATTAGTTTTCATTAGTTTTATGCATTTAATGTGTGGCCCAAGAAAGCTCTTCTTCCAGTGTGGCCCAGGGATGCCATAAGCTTAGAGACCCCTGTACCTACACTAGTGTGCATATGTATACCAGCAGAAGAACAAATAAAGAAAGCATCCTCTCCATATCAATTACAGAAATTCCATATAACCATTTCTTCAAGCTGAAAGGAGTTTAATAAAAAATAAGAAAAGTTTTACCCTCAAATCTGGAAATTAACTATTGCACTAAAAGACAAAAAGAAAAGGAACTTGAAGAATATCGCTTTTAAAGTTCCTTATTAATAATTTTTAAAGTGCATAGAAAAAATATGATGGCTTCAAAAAATGTACTAACCACATGATTTTCAAGCAATGATTATTTTAAAAATGAGACTCCAGTACACATACTTATGGATTTTGAATAAATCCATTCAATGTCAATATACTACTAATAATAACACCACCCAAAGTATGTCATGTGCTGTTCTCAGATATTACTCACATAAAAGTGTTCTGTGGTTTAGTTTTTAAAACATTGCATTTCCTTCCTACAGGACAACTCACAGCCTTCCAAAGACTAGTAACAGGAATTTAGAGCACTTTGCAGAAGGAATTTACTACAGAAAGAAAGGCCTTCATGCAGTATTTCCCTGCTTGTGTAACCATAAAATGGACTAACATTTTGTGAAACACAGTTTGATAAATTCAATACTGGAGTTGCTGAGAAATCAATATATAGGAAGACATGAGATGGCTTTCTATGGGTCAAATTTTATAGTAACAGATACCCACACCATGAACATTTGAACATTTTAAAACAGATCAGTTCTAAACAGTGGATAAGCTTCGAACAGTGGTTGATAGGAGAAAATCCTTTAAAACAAAAAAGTTTTTAAAAAACGTTTCTTAGTTTGGCCATGAAATACTATGGTATCTTTATTTCTACTCTGACTAACATGACAGAAGAGTGAGTGGGGAAGTATGAGTCATAAAGGAGTGGGGAAAAGAAAATAATCATTTCTTAGCTACAGCTAGACATTTCATTTGAATTGGACTCTCTCTACATGATATGAAATGTTTCTCAGCAGGTTTAATTACAGTATTCGAAACGACTACACATCATAAATTGCAGAATCTGTAGAAGTGAAAAAGACTAATTCATTCTTTGAAAAATCTTCTTGGGAAAACTACTGTAAAAAAATATAAAGATGGTGGAGCCTGGGTGACTATGGACACAATAATAAAATAAACATGAGCAAAAGGGAATTAAGTTACCTTCTCCCCTGAGTAAAGAGTTATTCTATTCCAACTCCCAGCACTGTAAAGCAGTCTCAATTGTTCAGTTTAAACATGTGCTCACTCACTAACTCATACTGGTGTAAGCCTGTCGTGCTGGCAAGTAAATGTCCATATTCATAGTGAAAACCAGGTAAACATGTTAGTGTCTCCAAATCAAAATGATCACACATTTTTGTTAAGTGATGACAACGAAAACCTCTGTGAGGGCTATCATCACCTCTTAAGTAAGACCCGTGCATTACGGCCACTCGGGAGGGGGATGCTGGTGACTGGAACATCGGTAAACCAGTCCTGACGAAGCGCGCACTGGCTGGAAGCCCATGTGGAAAGTGCTTGAGAGTTCATAGTAAAGCTGGGTATGCCCAGCTTCTGGGAGTATCATCAGCAAAAACCATTTATTATCACACAGAAGTATGAATTGGGCTATGACCCAAGTCAGGGATCAAACACTAACTGGCTATTATTTCAAAGTGGTGGCAGAATATGGAACAGTCTTTCCTAACACACCTGAAAAGATATCAAATAAAAGAGGAAGTACAAAGAACCTAAAATGAACACCAGAGACAAAAACTGTATATATACTAAAATGTCAGTCAGCACTACAAAATGAAAAAAAATTGAAATGACTAATGAATGCTAAAGAAATTTTTGTTGTATATGAGAAAAAACATTCATAGTCCCCCTAGCTACTAAAATTTTGAATATAACTCATGGCAACACAATGTTTCTTCAGTAAATCTGAAAATGATGCTGCAGAATCTTTAGTCAAAAATTAATAGTAATGAAAGTATTGATAGTAATTAAAGGTTTTTAAAGATGCATCTTCTTTCCCTTGACCAAGAGTGCACATTTATGACATGACTGGCTAGAGCTGAGATACACCCTGGGCCCATACGGACTGAATCAAAGCTAACTGGACTTTATGGAAAATGAACTCACGACCTAGACCTCATTACTCATGATCTAACCAACTGAGCTAATAGGCCACAGAAAATACCTGTTAGCATGAGATGTTTACTTTGAATTATTTCTGCACTTAAATAGGCCATATAATTTTAAAGAGTCAACTTTAGAGATGTTGTTCTTCCAAGGTTTTGTGAATGAACTGACTCACTGATCACACATTTACCTATTATGTGGAAAACCCTAAAGTCAGTGGTGCAGTAGTTTAAAATTGCACAAGGCAATATGCAGAATTTAGAATATAAATAAGAGAAAAAATGTAAAAAAACCTTAACTATAGTATATAATTTTATAGTAATAACTAATGTTTGAGTGTTATTTCTCAGATATTACACAAAAGTTTTTATAAACTAACCATATCTGTTTCATGGATTAAAAAAAGTGAAGAAGATAGTGTAACTTTCACTAAGTCACACAACAGTAATCTCTCCCCCTACCTTGGACCAATGATAAATGACTGAGATAGATACTGTAGTTAACTCGCTCAACGCCCAGCCCAACTGCCCTTTTCCCTTGCTGCCTTCTAGCACACAGACATGAAAGCTACAAACTCTCATTCCCAGATTCCTGGGCTGCTAACGATTCCTAGGTGATGCGAATATGGCCAGTGAAATGAAAGCAAAATGGAGCTAGACGTCTCTGAGAAAATCTCTCTCTCGCTCTGTGTGTGTGTGAGAGATATATTATTATATAACGTATGCCTACCCTGGACAGCAAGAGGAATGGTGTAAAAAGGTTTTTTTTATAAAGCACATATTATCTTTATTTAATAATCCTTGATATTTAAAATACGAGTCGAAGATGGGGGGACAAGAATAGCATGGGAAATACAGAATCTAAAGGACTTGAGACACATGGTCATAAACTAAAGGGGGGGTAACGGTGGGGATGGGGGGTAGGGTGGAGGGGAATGAAGGGGGGGATAGAACAACTGTAACAGCATAATCAATAAAAAAAATTAAAAAAAAATATGAGTCGAACATCCACATTAACAATGTAGTCCTTGGTATTCAACAGTGTTTTAGAAGCCTAGTTTTTCTATGGACCAGACAGGCAGGTCTGTATGTATAATGGCAAAAGATCTCAGGGAGCAGTACCCATACAGAAGGGCTGCACTTGACTCCTGACCAAAGGATACTGACACAGTGCACTTGTCTCATGGCCACAAGACAATGCCTTTAAAAAACAAGATTTTATTTATTTGTTTTTAGAGAGAGGGGAAGGGAGGAAGAAAGAGTGGGAGAGAAACATCCATTGGTTGCCTCTTGTATATCCTTAGACTGGGAACCGAACCCGCAACGCAGGCATGTGCCCCAACCAGGAATTGAACCTGTGACCCTTTGCTCTGCAGGAGTACACTCAACCAACTGAGCCACAATGGTCAGGGTAACAATGCTTTTTTATTTCAGATTTTTCTGTACTTCAATTTCAAATAGTTTATCTTTACAGAACAGTAATTTTTTTAAAAGTTACTCCTAGTAGTCCAGTGTTGTAGAAATTAATCACATTTCAAATATACGTTTTCCTCTTTTGAAAAAAAAGGCATTAAAAAAATCCTGGAAATATTCCCTTTTGAACTATGCAAAAGACGACTAAAGTGTTTCCTAAGTTACTCAAGAATTTCCACATGCATTTCATTATATTTGGATTTTGTGTGTATATACAAGTATATATATAGTCCAATTATTCACAACTATATTATATATATATATATATATATATATATATATATATATATATATATATATGCATAATCCCATTCTACATTGTGAAAATCTTAAGCACTATGTGGTGCAAATGTAAAATAAGCCTTACTGGATATATCTTCTATTGGAAATTGCTCCAGTATAAGATCTCTGGCCTCATGCTGCAGAAATAAAAAGATTCCCACACACGTACTTACATTGCTCCATTGGTATAGACAGTATCACTTCCTTCCACATACTGCACCTGAGCTGGATAGACATGTTGTACCTGCTGCACAGTCTGTACCTGCTGTACCTGAAAAACAAATATTAGGACTTTGATGAGAGATAGATATGAAAAAATACACAGCATTAGATTTACCTCAAAGGGTGTTGATGAACGAGAGAGTGGCTTATGATATGATCCTTAAGATCCTTAAGATCATGATGAAAAAGTTCAATCACTTACATGTAGAATACAGATTATAATAAACCTCATGCATTCATCATCCAAGATAATATTTGTCTCCTTTCAACCCCTTACAGGATTATTTAAAAGGAGGTACAGATTATATCATTTCACTGGTAAGTATTTCACTTGGTTTCCAAAAGATAAGAACTATTTTTAACATGAACACAATGCTAATATCACATATGAAATAAGAATTCCTTAATATAATCTAAAATCCAGACATTGTTCAAATTTCTATGATTATTCCAATGTCTTCTTATTGTTGGTTTATTTATATTAGGATCCAAACAAGTTCTACACATTACATTTGTATCTTTCCTATCTTTTTCTTTTAATCTCTAATAGTTTCCTAACCTTCTTACTTTTTGACCATTACTTATTAAAGAAACTAGATCATTTATAGGGTAGAATTCCTGGAATTCTAGATTTGGCTGATAGCATCCCTGAGATGTACTTTAACAAGTTCGTGCACCTCCTGTATATCATATACTCTAGTAGTTAGACCATGGGCCTTAACCAAGTTCAAATTTTGAAAAGCTGTGTACTTCCCATCGCATTATTATCAGCTGGCGTATAACAACTGGCTGTCTCTCTGCAATGATAAGCAGTGGGGTCAGGTGTCGTCAGCTGGATCAGTTTATTATAATACTCCCTGTCCCTGTTTCTACCTGGGGATAACAGTAGCCAATGATAACTATTTTTCCAGAGACAGTATTTCAAATTAATAAAGTTGCAAACTTTGGTAGTCTAGTTCTGTTATACATGTTCATTTATTAGTAGACATCTATTAAAAATTCTTCTCAATTATTTGGTTACTTTGAAATTGGGTTTGTACAGGAAGAATAAGATAAATACATCACTAAAAAAAGTAAAAAAGGAAAAAAATAATAAAAAGCTTGATTCTTTTCTTTACCTAGTATAAAGAATAATGACTTTATCCCCTAGCTCACTTCCCATGTAGTTTTGCCAGGTAGTTTTCATTTTGGTTTGGGTTAGTTTGTATTCTTATGATTCTTGACTTTTAAATATATTTAATGTTTTCAATCATAAAAGTCTTTTCTTCCAAAAATGTGCCATCTTTGATAAACAGCAGTTCCTTCAAAGTGTATCTTCTGTATCCTGTGTCTTCTGATATGACCACAGTCATCTTTAACCCCCCTACTTTCTGCCATAAAATATCCCAGATTTATCTTTTATATTCCCTGTCCTAGATCTGGAATCAACAATATCTTCAAAACCTGGCTCCTATCAGTAAGGAGTAACATGAAGATGAAAGCCGTTTAGGAAAGCAATTTCTAAAGAGTCATACTATCTAACCACTTTGTGATTTCCTCTATAGAAAGATTTAACATCCAAGGAGTAGCTGTAAAATATTACTAAATAATGTAGTCTATATTTGGTAATCCCCATAACAGCACAACACATGCTTTCTAATACACCTGAACATGCAGCATGAAAACTCATACGCTGAGCAATAAAACAAGTCCTAACAAATTTTAGAGGATTAAAACAACACAGAGTATGTTCTCTGACTAAAAATAATTCAAATCAAAGATAAAAAGACATCTGAAAAATCCTCAAATACTTATGTAATGAACAATACACTTTAATATTATCTAAGATTCATAGACAAATATCACGAGGGGAATTAGAAAGTATTTTAAATTAAATCACACTGAAATACAATACATCAAAATGTGCAGAGTACAGTGAGAGCTGTGCACAGAAGGAAATTTATAGTTTTAAATATTTTTATAGGGGGGAAAACCCCCAATGCAATAAATCTAAAGTTTCAACATTAAGCAGCTAAAAGAAAAAAAGAAGAAAAAATTAAACCTAAAGTAGGAAAAAAGAAATGAAGAGCAAAAAGAATCAATAAAATAGACATCTGAAAAAAACCAATAAAATGATAAAAAATAAGGCGGACTTTTCTTTTAATCTCTAATAGTTTCCCAACCTTCTTACTTTTCAGGAGGAAAAAAAAAGGACAAAATTATGAATACCAAGGAGGAAAGGTGAAACATTTTAAAGACAAAAAAAATATGTAATAAAGACAAATTAATGCCAAGCAATTCAATTACTTAGATTAAATGAATGAAGGCCTTCAAAGAAAAGTGAATTATGAAATTGAATACCTTCCTACAGAGGCAACAAATTCTAGATCAATAAGGGATTCTATTAGACATTTCAGGAAGTAAAAAATAATTCAACCTAACATATATATTTTACAAAATAAATAAGGGAATATCTCTGAACTGTTTTTGAGGCTAGCCTTACCCTGAGACTAAAACCAGAAAGACATTACAAGAAAAGATGACTATAGAGTAATTTCTCTCCTGAACATAAAAGCAAATATCTTACCAAAATACAATCCTCCCTAGGTATTATAGGGGGATTGGATTCAGGAACCCCTGCAGGTACCAAAATCCAAGATGCTCAAGTCCCTTATATATGGAGTGAAACAATGCATACAATCAGCCCTCTATATGGAGAATTCCAAACCACAGACAGAAAATACTTTTTTATATGTGGTTGGTTGAATCCGTGGCTGCAAAACCCAGGGATACAGAGGGATAACTGTATTTTATTGAAAAACTCCACATATAAGTGGACCTGCACAGTTCAAACCTGTGATGTTCAAGGGTTAACTATATATCTACTTCAGCAACATATTTATGGAACAATACATTACCATCAGGTAGGGTTTAGCCAATATGGCAATGTCATGTTTAGCATTATAAAACCTATAAATGTAGCCTACCAAATTAACAGTAAGAAAAATGGTATGACCACCTCAACACATGCTATTAAAGCATTTGACAAAATTAAAATCCACTCATGATAAAAAACAAAATAACAAACATCTCAGTAAGCAAAAGATAGACGGGACCTCTCAATTTGACAAAAGCCAGCTGTGAAAAATACAGATATCATACAAATTAAATGGTGGAAGTCTGATCTTTAACACTTAAACAATAGCCATTGTTTTTTCATAAACTCCTCTGCTTAAATTCTTCAGTGATGAAAAATAATCAAAAAGACTGGGACACAAAAATCCTATTAATGCTATATAAACATTGATGGGTATTTTTAAACACAGCTTCCCTGCTCTTTTATAATTATATATTCAAATTTTGCATATTCTTGCCCTGGCTGGGTGGCTCAGTTGGTTGGAGCACTGACCCATACACAAAAAGGTTGTGGGCTCCATCCCTGGTCAGAGAGACCGTAGAAGGCAACAGATTGATCTCTCTCTCTCTCTCTCTCTCTCTCTCTCTCTCTCTCTCCCCCCCCCTCCTCTTGCTCTTCCCCTTCCTTGCTCTCTAAAATCAATAATTGGGTGAGGGTAAAAGTTTTTTTTGTACATCCTTTCTATTTTCTCATACCTCATATTATCTTTTTCTACATAAATTATCTCATCAAACAACAGAAATACAACATTTTCCTTCCAGGCCTGATTAAAAATTTGGTTTCTCTAAAAACCCTTCTATAACTTAATTTATCCCACAAGAGACCGACTATTCCTATCTTTTCAATCTCTTAGAACTCATTCATACAGGTGGTCGGTAGCACATGGCTTAGTACTCATTTATGTTCCTAACTGGTCACACTTTATGTAGACAATATGGTGAGGTGGAAAATCCATTACTTTTTAAGTAGGAGAACTAATATTAAGTCCTTGTGCTGTTAGTTGCTGTTTTTATATTTGGATAGCCCATGTATTTCTTTAAATAATAATTTCCTTCTGTGCAAAATAGAAACTATACCTATTCTATCATAAAGGATTTTTGTGAGGATCCAAAACTATTAAATAAAGATACAAAACACAGTATGTGCATATATAATAATTACAACCTATTTGAAAGTTAGTGAAATTATTAAATACTTCAAAACTAAGAGTTTGTCTTCCACATAGGTGTAAATTTCATCGTTATGTCCCATTTGGTTTCAGTCATAAGTATGCACAATGTATGTTCACCAAGGGTTATTTCAAATCATGAAATTCTGTAATTAAAGTAGAAATGAAAAGTGTCAAGAACCTTGGCAAAGGAGTCTGGAGAGATAACTGGCTAACTCATCTAGGATGGCAATATATAAATATGTCCCTTTGACCACATCGACATTTTTAGTACAATGCAAAAATAGGGCACAATTCTTTACATTATCTACCAAGTTAATGAACTGACAAAATAAATGAAAAATAAACTCAAGAGTGAAAATACTGAATTTCAGCATATTCTGGAGGTAATACAATTTTCATTATTAGTTGTTTTTCTACCACCCTTTACAAACTGGGCTGAAGATGCCCTTGGAGCAATTCAGTGACAGTGAGATGGAGAACTGCACACTGTGCCTGTGGTTTGAAAAGGTATTCCTTCAAGGGTATAATGGCAGTGGAGGAAAAAAAAAAGAGGAGTGAAAGGGACAGAAAAAGAAAAAACAGAAAAGGAAAAAACAACCTTATGTACACATGTCTCATTTCATCAATGAACTTTAAATCCTTGTGAAGTCTTTCAGATTTTAGTTGAACATTTCTTATTTAATTCCCTCCCTCCCTCCCTCCCTCCCTCCCTCCCTCCCTCCCTCCCCCCCTTCCAAGTGGGACTCTGTTATTAGTTGGAGAGTCACAGAAATGCTCCCTTTTATCTTAAGTCAGATCCAGGAAGAGATGTGTGTCTACAGAACCAGTATGTCAAGATTAACAAACCCAGCTGCAGGATGGAAAATGAGAATGGCAGAACTCCAGTTTATCCCTACCCCTGGCCCAAGTTCACACATAGAGAAGCAACATTTATATTGTTAGTATATTCCCAAAGACCTAACACAGAGTAAACACATTGTAA